TGACGCGCAATTATGGGCGTGATTATTTCAGTAACTTGCTCGTTTTTTCTCCCTTTTTCAGCAATATTTCCCCAGGTCCCTATTTCTTGATACTTGGTCATTTTTGCATAATTTTATTCTTCAAATTTGGTCATTTTCGACTTGTTTTTCTCCGTTTCTTTGACAGAATACATCCAATGACAAAGTGTCATGACTCGTCCAATTACTTATTTTAAAACACAAAATACCTTATATCTTTAGGATCGAGATAGAAAATATCTAACTCTCGATCATCCTCTAATTGAAGAGGTATTAAATCTTTAACATCCAAAACAAAACATACATATTTTCTTATTGAGTTGTCAGAAGGAATCGTCATCTCATTTTGGTTATGGGTATAGGAAGTTGCACAACTTTCTTTTGTGCTCGCACCACCTAAAACATATCTTTCAGGTAATCCATCATCTTCATTTGTACTCGGTTGGACGGTTACACCCATCGGTGCCAATTTTTGCATCATAAATTAAAAGAAAAACAATGCACAATGCATAAACAATCTTTATCCTACAACAACATAAAACACATTCAACACACAAAACACTATTTTCAAGTACCACATAAAGTACCTTCAACTCTTTCTTGCGTATTTCCTTTTCTTGTGCTAATGCATCTTCCAACTTCTTATCGTAAATCTCCTCAAACTCTTTCGTTTGGGATTCATGATCTTTTGCTAATTTATCTTCCATCTCTTTCTTTTAAGTTCTTGCTAGATGACGACAACTTATCTAGAGGGGGATGAACAGATCACCAAGCCAAGATTCTAAATAAAATATGGTTTTTAAAAATTGGTTGAAAAGAGTCCACACGAAAGGTTTTTAATATAGATCGAATATGTCGTCTATACGAACCTAGCTATTCGAACTCAAATATGCAAAATGGCCTTATGGAATGAATAATACAATAAACCGAATTTATAAAATTGAATCAAGTAACACACTATTATTCACTTATAGAAAGTTGTTAGTAAAGCTATTTCTAATGATAACAAGCAAAAATAGCGAACTATGCAATTTATCAAACACTTGGTGTGCGATCGAATTTTCCTTGAGTTGTGTTGATATGAAAAAGCACTTATAATAAAAAGTGATTATAAGCTAATCAACAACCAATTCAAAAAAAAACATCCATAGAAAATTCTTACGAGTCGATCATTCAATCAATGTTATTTGACAAATTAGTTAATGAAAGATAAAGCAAGTAAAGAGCTAAGAGAGAGCGACATGAGGATTTTTTTTAGTAAGTTCACCAATTATCCTCGCTATGGCTACCTCTCCCTCAAATTCCAATTTTGGAATTAGGATAAATTCTTACTATGAAAAAAGTGATTACAAGATAAGTGTTCTAAGAGTAACCCCACAAACCATAACTATTTGTTATTGATTCAACCCCTTCTCTTTATTTGATCTTGAGCAAGATATAAAACACAATAGCTACCAATTGATTTATCGAATCTTGCTACTTCTTTGTGTTCCAAACTCCAAACTCTTCTGCGAATGATCAATTGACTCCATTAGATACAAGACCTTTCAATTCCATTTGCCATTCTCACGCTACTTCCTTGGGGTACCAAACTCTGAAGGCTTTTCACTTGGCCGGAATCCTCTCTTGAAAGTCTTGTACGAAAACCCCCAAAGATCTTGGAGGATAAACCTGAGGTTTTTCCAGATGAAACCCCCTACAAATATCAACCTAATATTCTTGGCTACTCAAAAACCTAATTGGATGTTATCAAGGCTCGCCTAGATGCCACTGCAACAAAAGATGATTATGAGGGATTTATAAGTGTGTATGCATAGGTTGGAGGTTGAAGGTGAAGAGAAAATATAGTAAGTGTTTATAGTTTCATCAATTTAAAATGATGCATTAATGATGTATTTTTAGTTGTGGAAGTTGGTATGCAGAGAAGGAATTTTGGAATTAAAACATGTTAAAAATTTGACTCATTCAAACAACATGTGTCATCCTGAAATGCGGATGTACCGACACATAGACAAAAATAGTAGTATGTGTCGGTCTATGAAGGAGTATGTCCCGGCCTGATCAAGTTAGTGGTTATAAGCTTCATTTTGATAGTATATGTGTTGGCCTATACACAACATGTGCCGGCCAATGCAACACAAACTCCACAGGCTTTAATATTGAGTTGCATGTGTCGGTCTGAAACACGTATGTGTCGGCACATGTAATACATTTTTGTGCAGAAAGTGATTTTTAATGAATGTGATTGATTCTAAACATGTTTCAATTGATTCCTAAGACCTCTAAATGCATAGGGTTCCATACAAACTCAGAGATATCGTCCAATATACATAAATGCTATGTTCTTATAGTTTTGACATTATGCAAAACATATCTAGAGGCAAGTTGCACTCACAATTCTTGTTCATGTGCTAACTTCTTATCAACGAGCTCGGCCATCTCTTTCTTTTACAATTATTATCCAACACCATGTACACATCCACCATTCTCCTTTGTTTTGATTGCTTATACTAATATATCATGTCGTGCTTGTGGAACAAAGGAATCTTGATTGGCCATATCAATCAACAAATCCCACACAACACGAATAAGATATCATTACCAAAGTGATTTAAATTACACACAATAAATCCTACTCGCAACAAATCCAACTTTTAATATTCTAATTGGCAAAATAATCTACTTACAATCTTCTCTGCGACTACACATTATAGAATTGAAGATCGAAGAATTAAGGATAAAATTTTAATTACATTGATTGAAAAATTTGATCCTATAGTAGTTGTTATACAAGAAACTAAGTGTTTTTCAACCATGACTATCCAAAGGTTGATAGGCCACTTAGATCATACGAGTAAAGTTTTCCATGACGCAATGAAAAGTAAATTGAAAGTATGTTTCAATCCAAGCTCACCATTCAATTAAATAATGATAAATTTGTATTTAAAAATAATGGTTAGTCTTCTAAAGGTAGCATATTTGCTTGAGGCCGAGGAAAAAATTACAAAATCCCCTGGAAGAGGAAGAGGAGCCTATGGAGGATGAGGAAGTTTTTGAGGTTTAAACAAATGGTATGACATTAGCAAGAAGAACACTCATGAAGATAAAGTTTTGTCGAAACAAAGGCAAATCACAATGTCATAATTGCAAAAGGTTCGGGTGTATGCAGAAAGATTGTCGCTTACAAAATCAATAACATGTATCATTTACAAAAATAATACATAATTTTCCAGACCAACAATTGTCAGTATATTAATTCGTTCTATTTTCTAACTATCTTGATTTAGTTTCCTGTTGGAATTAGGTGTTTTCTAGGGCAGATATATGCTTGCTCTACAGGTCCTAAGACCTTTAGCTGACAACCAATGTAGAAATATATATTTTATCTTCTGACGCCATCGTCCCGTTGTCACTCTAGTCATAAATATCTTTAGTTTTGGACTTTATAACTATATTGGAACTCCTTCTCATGGTTCATGTTTTAGGGCAAGACCAAATAAGATCAATTATGGTTTTATCCTATAACTTAAGACGTTAATGGACCAATTCTATTCCTGCATCAACTTAGGTAGAAAGAAGATTAACGACACTCTGTTATTACATAATATTTATGAGCACTTTTTTTATAAAATTGGTGAAATTTTGAGAAAAAGATTAATTAAAATGATGAAGAAATGATAAAAATTATAATAGGGAGAGAAATCTTGAACTTCGAAAAAATAAGAAGAAAAAGAATGCAAAACATTAATTATAGCCCCTGGATGTCTTGCGATCATGATGCCACTATCACGATTGTGATGAAGACGTATCGCGATCTCGATACTTTTGATAGTGGTCGCGATGGGCCACATGCCAAACACATTTTTGGTGGTTTATATAGAAAAATTGAAGACTTTTGCAAGGGTTCCAAATTTGTGCATAGAAAGTGACGATAAAGAGTTCTACAACAAAGATTTTTAGAGTTTTAGAGCAATTGAAGACACTATTCTTCATTGATTTTCATTTTCTATTCATCTAAACTCATGGTAATGTTTTGTGTCACTATGCGTAGCTAGATTTCTCTTGATTATGTTTTAGTATGTCAAGTTAATTTTACTATATTGGATCATATGATTGTTTGATGTTATTTGCATGATTTGATTATATAATTTTTATTCAGTTGCTTTTATTCTTACTGCTCTTTGAGTGATAACGAGCGCGAGGAATGTTAATTTATATGAGTAGGGATTAATGGGTGTAACTCTACCAATCGAAAATAAGGTCATTGTTCAACTTAATAATTAACTATGAATAGGTAATTATAAGTTGTGCCTAGAGAATTAACGCACTTAGATCGCCTAATCAACATGCTCTCAAACAAACCCTCCTTTATTTACGTTTTAAAGCACGATCATAATCTTATTAAAATATACAATCTTTATGAAGACGATCTTTTATATTATTACTTTGACTCAATTAGTACACTTGTTAAAAAAGTCATAAGAATACTTTGATGTATTTAATATAGAAACATTTTTTTTTATATATAATATTCCTCCATGGGAGCCAAACGAATCAATCTTGATAAAAGTAAAAGAGAGTTTTAATTACATTCTAAATGGAGATTAAAAAAATTAGAACCAAAGTATACATTGCATGATGGTATGGCCATCATGGTTTTAAAAAACGGTTATGGTCGCAATCGCGTAAAGATTTTCACAGTTTCTATTAGTATAAGTGTTGCGACACTGATTGTGGTCGTTACAGTTTCTATTAGTATAAATTTCTATTAATGATTTATTCAATCGATATTGACATTTGTCAAAACTATTTTATCATAACCGTTTTTGCATAACTGACTGTTTCATAAAACTCTGATGGCATTATTTAAGAATAAACGAATAAAAAAAAAGTAATAAATAGTATCACAAATCATTAAAATTACAAAAAGAAATATTTGAGAAAAAAAATCCAAAAAAAAAAAAACAGAGGCATGGTAGAACCTAGAACAGAACATCGCACTTGGTAGGCAAAACCCTAGTAAAGGTAAAAGTTGCATTATTCCTAGAATTCATCGAAACATTGAGGTCACACTTGACTTTTGGCTTGTAACTATGAGAAATGGAGTCTCCGAGTTTGAACCTAATCCTGAAGTAGAGTTTCACATAGATATCATAAACTCCAACACTCTTGTCTTTGTTGAATTCAGACACTTGATCATTATGGAGCATCAACAACTGTTGTCCTGAGAAAACACCACTCATAGGATCACTGCTTTTCTTGTCTTGGCGGAAAGAATTCATGTGTGTGATGACATCAATATTTGCAAACCTTGCCCCTTCATAGAATGCATGAGCCTCAACTTTATCGTAATATATACCAAGTTTTTTATTTGGATTACGGGCAGTGAAATTGAGCACCATGTTGTAGTGTAGCGTGTCGTTGGTATAGTCGAATTGGGTTAATTCGGCTTTCGTGACATAGAACTTGAAGGCGCGGGGTTGAACAATGAGGTAGAAGATAAGGATTACGAGAGCGAAGAGGATGATGAGTGCAACTAGAAGCTTGCAGAAGAAGGTAAAGAGACAGCAACAACAGCTTTTGTTGCGACGGTTGCGAGATCAGTGTTGTTCAGTTGTTAATTGGGAGTACTTATCTGCCATATATACAACTTGCTGAGATGAAGATAAGTTGTGAATTAAGTGATTGTAATGTGAGATAAAAGAGGAAAGAATAATGGCTATATATTTATAGAAACTAGAAAGGAAAGATGTTGAAGATTTAGTGGAATTAACGCGGTTGATTATTGGGCTTGTTTGGATAATAATTTAATTCATATTGGCGTAAAAAAGAATGAGGACACTGTCAATATTGGGGGATTGGGTTGACTTGATTATTTCCCCTTGGGGTGGTGGGTACCATTATTGAAATGCATGGCGGCGCAATGGGGTGACACTTTATATGGAATTGAATGATTATGCAACTTATATTTTGAAATTGAATATGCTGCAGCCAGGAAAATGCATATAATATAGTGTTGCGGTTCAATGATCACCAACTGTACATGATTTTAAATGTTATTAATTGCAATTTGTAGATGATTATTTAAATATAAGTTGTAGTTACAAATATCATGTATGGTTTATGATTGAAAGTTATTTGTATGATGTATTTTTATTATATTATAGCTTCTATTTGAGAATATGAAATTTGAGATACTAATTCAACATCAAATCAGCAAACTATTATATGTTAGTCCTTATTCTAATTGCTAAGTTCTTCATTTAGGTGAAACTTTTGGTGTGTTATGTATGCTCTAATAGCTACAAAAGACTTTTGTACAACTTAATTTGTTGATAACTACTTGATGAATTAGTATTGCAAAGATCAAGAAAAATCGAGAATAATAAATTGAAGAGAATGTTTTTTTAACCAGCAATGAATCCATTAAAAGAGAGTATAAGGGATACTTTGTCTGGAACAACACAACGGAAAACCCATGCCTCTTAAAACAAAGAAGAGGTAGAGTATTCTAAACAGAAAAGTTAAAGAGATTAGCAATTTTACAACATAAACATAACCACATCCACGACCTTTGGACAATCACCGACATACACTCAACAAAACCGAACACAACTCCCTTAAAAATGACGGCATTTCACATTAATCAACGAATCCAAACTGTTGCTAACCAGATCATGAAAACTATTGTCCTCTTCAACGTACTCTTCACTTTCTCACAATGGAAAAAGAAGTTCACAAACCCCCCTAAATACAATTCTAAAGTAGTGTCAATCCATTCATAAACCTTCCTCCATATTCGGGCCGAATACATGCATTGTCCGAATAGATGCGAGATGGTTTCAACCTCCGTATTGCGAAAAGCACAGAGAAAGTCTCTAGTATCCATCAATATTTCATGTCTAAACAGTTGATCTTTGATGGGGATCCTATTGAGGATAAATCTCCAACCGAAAAATAACAAATTCGACTGGATTTTAATCTCTCACAAATAATTGATAGCTTTCAGTACATCCACTGGGAGAGTAGAAATAAAAGTAATCTCGCAAAAGTGTTTGAAATAAGAACTTACCGTGAACTTTCCATCAACATCTTTCAACCAGACATAACTATAATAAGCTAATTCTTCCATATTGAACTCATGTATCAAGCCCGAAAATTCCTTTCAGGTACTTGGGTCGATGTCATCAATATTTTCCACTAAATCCGCAAGCTTCCATGTCCAAACGGGACCATCCCAACATCCTATATCCGCCACACTGCAGTCATTGCTACTCGCTTTTTCTAAGATGTTTGGGAAAGCAAACCACTTCGAGTGCCAAAAAGCAGTTCTCGTAGCCATTTTTTACTCTGCATAAAATAGACCCTGTGAACCTATTTTCCAATGAGGCAATTGAATTTTAAGACAAAATAAGGTCCATCCACCAAATAGAGTCCCTGTTATTCAACACAATTTTATCACATATAAGCACTTTAGTTATGAAATTCACGTATCTGCTTCTAATAAAATTTCACCACACCGCATCTTTCTCGCTCAACAACCCACATTTCCACTTATTTAAAAGGGCCATATTCAAAACCTCGACATCTTTAACTCCAAGACCACCTTTATCGCACGGTTTGCACACATTAATCCAACTCATCCAGTGTATCGTTCTTTTATTCTCGCTTCCACGCCATAAGAAATTGCTTTGGATATGACGTATCTCAAGTAACACTTTTGAAGGAGCTTTATAAAATAATAAATAAATGGGGATTGCGTTCAACACTGAATTAATCATCATCACACGATCTACAATTGTCAGATTTCTACCTTTCTAAACAGCCATCCTTCTCTTCAAATGATTGATTAAATTCTTCTACATTGATACATTTCTAGGACTTTCCCCCACTTTGATATCAAGGAATTTGAAAGGAAGGCTATCAATGTTGCAGGATAGGAAAACTGAAGCAGCCTCTAAGAACCAATCACCCATATTAATGTCATAAATATTACTTTTTTGAAAGTTAATCTTCAACTCTAACATCATTTCAAATCCCCTTAGAATGACTTTCATACTCCATAAGTTATCGCAGCTACCATCCGCCATTATAATGTTAGATGATTGTTCACATTGTTCATCCTTGTCGGCAAATACTACTATATATAATATATTATGATAAAATTTTCTTTTCATCCAATGACAACTGAGGTGACCACCATAAAACATACTACTTATTCTCTCGATTATGCTATGAATTTAGGGGAAAACTTATGATTAACCCCTCTTCAAATCCCAACAACTGCATTTACTTGAATTTAGTTTTTAAATTTTTTTATTTATGACAAATTCCGTTGATGTTGCTAGAAACTAAGGGAAATGTTATGATCAACGCGCCTTCGGATCTTAGCAATGTTAATTTAGAGTCTTTTATTTTTAATTTTTTAATTTAATTCACATTCCCTCAATTGGGCTAGCAACCAAGGGGAAACGTGTGTTTGTTTATATAACCAACGTACCTTTATCATCCATTTATAGAATAACCAATTTGCTTGCATATTTAAAATTATGTCTTGCATATTTATTCACCTTTTTTGTTAGTACCATGCTTTTGGGATTGACTAAATTTTGGAAAAACATGGTTTGTCATAACAAGATATGTTATCATGTGTTTTTCAACCAGATGTCAAAGACAATGTCATGACGTCTTGGTCTGATGCAGCAGGCGCTGATGTTTGATTTTTCTTGACAAGATTTGATTTCATTTTATGAGATTTATTTTGGATATATATCAGTTAGTTTTGCGGGTCAAGAATATGCAATATGGAATAAGTGAATTAAATCTCCAACAACATTAAAAGTTTCTAAATCTGGTTGTTGAACTAATTTATGATACTTGAAGATTTGTTCCAAGATTTAAAGAGATATTCTCTGCAGCAATCAGCGCATGGATTAAGGAATATTTGGGAAGAGACTTTGAAGCCCATGGACAGGTGAAGTCTTATAAAATCAAGACCAAGACCTAGGGCAAAATAGTTTTGAACAGTTTGTAAAATAAGGGTTTAGGTTTGAGAGTCTCTCATGTTCATTATGGTGTAAGTCACCCTTGTATCTTTTGATACTTGTGGTATACATAATATTCTCAATCAGAAGTCTTTAGGTAATGAGCTGAATGTTGTTCTCCTCTAAGCTTTTAAGCAAAGAGTTTAGTATTGTTCTTGGTGGAAGCTTTTAAGTAACCCAAGTATTTTTCTTAGTTAAGAGTCTTAACTAAGAATTTGTAATTTGGAAGTATGTTCTTCCTGAAAGTTCCTGGGATTGGGATTGTCTTTCTTTGTAATTGGGAAGTATGTTCTTCCTGGAAGTTTTTGGGATTGGGATTGTCTTTCCCTGTGATTGGGAGATTGATATCACTATGGTGATTGGAAGTGAGTGGGTTCTCATATCTAGGAAGTGCCTAGGTAGAAGTTGCATTGGGTAGGGATTAAGTTAGAGGTTGTAAATAGAGGAGTTTTGCTTCATATTAATACTGCTAATAGTGTATTTCCTTCCTGGCTTGGTAGCCACCAAATGTAGGTGAGTTTGACTGAACTGAGTTAACAATTGATTGTCTTCTTTATCATCCTGCTTTTAAAACTATGCATATTCATTCAGTTTGATATTGTTATTCGGCCTATAGGGAGATGTTGTATCATTCGTCATGAAATCATATTATGATGTTTGTAACATCAGTTTTTCCATATTGTGCAAGTGCCCAAATTTCAATTGGAATCAGAGCAGGCACCCTGTTTGGTCTATTGGGTGAGCTTCAAGGATAATATCTCTGGTACTATTTGACTATTTGAAGGCAAGGTTGATATTTTTCTTAGATTCAAGGAAAAACTACTGATGGTTGTCTGCTGCTTTTGTGTGCTCTTCTGCAGTTACCATTACTATTAAAACAACTATTGATGGTTGTTTTTATATCACAACTAATGATGGTTGTGTTAAGGTTACAATTATGGATGGTTGTAATGATGATCTAGATGTGACAACTATTGATGGTTGTCCATGCATGATTTTCTACAAGATGGACATCTTGCTTGGAATGTGTTGAGGTTGTATTAATTTGTCTTATGTTGCATATGCCTCTTATGAAAGAATTCTGGCAGTTCGTAGTCCGTGCCTCTGGTATTATTGCTAAAGAAAGAATTTGTCTAGATAGCCAGAATAGGATCAGTTATTTGCTTGAAGAAGAAATATGATGAAATCAATTCATGACTTCTCATGAAATCTCTGTGTAGGGTGGTATCCTATGACGATGAGCTAACTGCTTGTTTCTAAGTTTGTGCATTAAAAATGAAGAATTATGTCCTCAAGGATGTAATATGTGAGTATCCCTTTCTCATCCACTGGCTTAAAAGGAAGAGAGTGTTTTTGTG